GGGGGGGGGGGGGGGGGAATTCATTCTCAACTTCTGTTGGAGGAGCCGTGGGTTTCTGCTGTGGGAGTCACCTGTGAGAAAGAATAACTTCGCTCTGCAGCCTGAAATAGCACCCTTCCTCTGAAATAATAAGAACACGAACCTCCTCCCCTCTTCAAAAATGTTCCCGTCCATTTTCCTCATCGGTATAAATGGTGAAACTTGTAGCAATAATACCCCCTTCTTTCAGACAAACGCCTCCCCGCTGTCTTCACCTCCAGCCCGGCGGCCCCTGAAGCCTCTCGGCTGGGGATCTCTGCAGAGCTTTTCTGCGCTGACAAAAAAAAGTGAGAAAGAAAGAAAAACCCTCCTGAAGGAGAACAAAAGTGACCACATTTTCCCTCTGTGTCCCCTTCTCTGCGCAGAATAACCCGCTGCCTGTCGCTCAAATGGGAATATTAGGACGTCAATCTCACGGCCCCGGTGCGCTTTTGTCTTTGCTGAGTGGTCGGCTCTGCCTACCACACACCCTTTGTCCGGCAATCCAATAAGAGCCATTATTCCTGCTTTCCAAGCCCGGCTGCAGCTCGCTCTTCGGGGGTATTTTAGGTGCTTAATCGCGTCCTTTTAAGGAGCTCAAATGGAGAAACACTTCCTCCTTTCAAGGCGCCTGGCACAGGGACAAAGAGTCCCCGTGGCCCGGCCTCCTCCAGCAGCTCCCCTCTTAACATGTTTATGTGCAAAATTCAGCTTCCAATTTGCAGCCGAGCATCTAAATCTCTGACCCCATGGAGGTGACACATTTTGTTTTCTTCGTGCTGCATTACGTTCATATTTATGTATTTGTGCGGTCAGGTATACGGAGTTTCTGAGCTGTAATACACAATCAAAACGCCTTGGCTCTTTAATATTTTATTTGAATAAATGTGAATAGACTAACAATTCTCTGTTGAACCAAAACATCTTTCGTCTCTAGAAAAACAAAAAGTTAAATTTTAATACCAATTATTTCAAAATCTGTTAGGGGTTCCGTTAAGAAAAGCGCTATTTTCCCCTCTGCGCCTTTGCCTTGCGGCGCTAAACAGGGGCGCACATTCTTGGACCAAAAATAATAATAATAATAATAATAATAATAATAAAAATGTCCACCTTGCAGTGACATTCAGCCTCCACGGAAACTCTTGTTCTTTGGCCCGAACAGTTGAGTAGGAAATACTGCCATTCGGACATTTTGCACCAAATGAGTTGATAAAAAAAAAAGAAGAAAAGGAAAAAGTTTGATAAAAAGGACACTTGTTCTGTTCCGGAGAGGCTACCAGGCACGGATCCCCTGCAGGGAGCCCTGGCAGGAAGTAACCGCTGTCCCTTGATGTGTTTGGGCCTGCGGAGAGCCGCCGAGGCCGCCCACGTTTCCCAAGTTCATGTTCATGAAGGCGTTCGGGGTGCTGGACGGCGGCAGGGCGGGGATGCTGGTGTACGAGCAGCTGTAGTTGCTGTTGTACGCCGGGCTGCTGTAGGTGTAAGCCGGGTATCCGTTATAGCTGTACGGGTTGGAGCCGTAGGGAGCGGCGGCGGCATAGCTCTGCGCACCGCCCAGACACGGCTTCCCGTCTCTCACCAGCACCGGCACGGCGACGCGCCGCGGCGGGGGCGGGTGGTGCTGCTGCCCGGCCGCCTCCAGAGACTTGTCCTGCCGCTGGCGCTTGCATTTGTAGCGGCGGTTCTGGAACCAGATCTTCACCTGGTTGGAGGTGAGCTTCAGGGTGGTGGCCAGGTGCTCCCGCTCCGGGGCGGACAGGTAGCGCTGCTGCTTGAAGCGCCGCTCCAACTCGAAGACCTGCGCCTGGGAGAAGAGGACCCGGGGTCTCCGCCGGCTGCGCTGCTTCTGCACCGGCCTCTCCGACTCACCGAGCCCGCCGTCCGCTGCGTCTTCCCGGGACACCAACCCGCAGTTCTCTGGGTGAAACGGGAGAGTCGAGTTACATCATTGTTTGTTTTACTGACGTAAGGTGGAAAATGAGATGGAGAAACGAGCTAATGTGTGTTTTTTTTTAAATAATAAACTTATTTTAATTTGTTGACATTGAATTAACTTCTCTTTTGTGATGTTTTAGTTTTATTATTTTACTTTTTCCCGTCAATTTATTCTCGTTTTTGTACAGCACTTTGGTGCAGTTTTCACCTGATTTAAATAAAACTGACATTTACATAAAAGAAGAAAATGTCTGAATAATTCTACATCTTCACCACAAATGAAGTCGGAACGGATTTCAGGAGCACATCAGTGAAACGTCACATCTCACCACAGGCTGTATGACCTTTTGAATTACTGTTTGAGAATGTCATTTATTCAACACACATCCTTACGTTGGCCACTACAGATAAACACCACCACAAATCCCACATTTGTCCATCTGTCATGTGTCAACAATGGAAGGATACACTATAAAAATGAAATCTGAAGTGTCTTCAATTTTAGGCATTAAATGGTTTACAAACACATCGAGCTTGTACATATAATGTTTAAGATTAGTTATTCTCAGTCCAAGAGTTTCTGTATTTATTGATTTTTTTTTTCACATGTAAGGACAAACCTGATTAAAGCAAATTATATTTATCAAATTTATTTAAGCAAGAACTTTTGATAATTGCCTGCATGGACTAATTCATATCTCTATTGAGAGATAGAAATTAATTAAAAAAAATTACCCAAATAAATTGTCAAAGTGATTTTATTGGTTAAATTTCCGTCTGTTTTGTCACAACACATTACTTTTATTCCATTTATTTTTTGTATCTGTAAAAGTAAGAATTTAAAATAAAGCAAAAATACTTAGTTATTAATATGTATTTCTTATCACAATAATGTTTTCCTCTGTTGTTGATAGTAATGCGTTATTTTTATTTTTATTTTACTCATAAAACAGTTTTTATTCTGTAATTAACTGTCTAATGAATCTTCGACTTTTCCTCATTTTTTAATAATAAAATGTCTGCACGTTTCGGAGCTGAACAGTTGATATCCATCCCGCCTGTGTTTATCGGCGCTACTTCTCCGTGTCACTTCTTTTACAAGCCTCTTTAAACTAATTGTCGGTTTATGGTCCACACATCATAACAGAGCCCGGAGTAAGAGGCGCGCAGCCGAACCACTAGAAAGTGTTTGACATGTGCGCACTTCCCTGGATCCGTCTCAGCCTTCCACCATTTGATAGCTCTTTATTGGAATAATGTCGGAACCTGCGGCTCTGTGAGGAAACGTAGAAAAATGTCCCTGAATCATCTTCTTGTTTTCAATAGTTGTAGTTTAATTTAGTGTGTTTGTCATGTAGATTTGACAAAATTGGATTCTTTTTTTTTTTCTTTTTTTTTGATGGATGTCAAGCGATAACTCACACTACAATACCCAGGTAAATTCATAAACAAAAATTATTTAAATACATTAATAAAATCCTGACATATTTTTCGGGACATCCGTTTTCAGTTTTGAATTTCTAAAAACCCACCATCATTAATTATTATGATTTAGCTCTAAACAGATTAACATATATTGCATTTATCGTAACATTTATCAATTATCGTGAAACATTTCTTGTCACCATAAGAGTTTTGGCTTATCGTTGTCATAATAAACTTCAGTTAATGTTAAATAAACTATGAATTTTACAGATTTCTACAGTTTTTTCATGACACCATCAGTAAACATGAGTAAATTTTAAATATATTCAAATAAACTCACACTAATCTGCACATAGACAACACAATCACTGCAACATTGACCAACATATATGATGTGTATTGATGATTTTGATGATGGCACTCGACTAAATGTAAACACTGATGTCTGTATGATGTATTAATGGCTTTTTATTTTTAAGTTTTTATTATGTAAAGCACTTTAAGCTGCCTTGTTGCTGAAATGTGCTATATAAATACAATCGATTGGTTGATTCTTTAATATTGTGGCGTCCTTAAGAAGTTTACATCAAATAGGAACATTTTTCAAGACCAGCATTTAAGTTTGTGGCTCTATGAATGCTGTTAACTGAAAAAAAGTAGTAAATAGTTTCTATCAGATATTTTTTTTAATCGTTATCACAACAGTACGACAAAATATCGTGATACAATTCTCAGTTCATATCGCCCACCCCTAACAGCTTCCCTCACCCTTCAAAAATAAAGTTCTTTCTTTCTTTCCTTCTTTTCTTCTTTCTTTCTTTCATTCTTTCTTTCTTTCTTTCTTGTCAAAAATTATTATTTTTTTAATGTATTTATTTTTTTAATTTTGAAGGAAAGAGGTGGTTATTTTTTATATATACTAAAATCACTTTGGGCGAAAAATGACTTGGGCCGTTGTTTTAGGAAGGTGGGGATTTGTTGACCAACATCAGGTAATGACAGCAAAAAGCCCAACATGCATCAACCAATCTGTGAAATATGGGATCAGTTGTTCGCTGTTTACTGCAGTTCCTCTCTTTCAGAGAACGGTGTGGATGAGGTTTAAACTCACTGCTCTCCTGCGCCTCCAGCTCTGCGGCCTCCAGCTTGGCTCCCTGCAGCCCTGGATGGACGTACATGCTCGGGGAGAGGCTCGGATCTCCGCGCTCCTCATCGCGCACCGCCAGCGCGCTGAGGTACGCCAGGTTGTCCTCACTGTCCGAGAAAGACGGGCTATCCCGAGGCACTGCCAGCATGCATGACGGCGGGCTTTGGAAGTGCTGCTGCTGCTGCTGCTGCTGCTGCAGCTGCTCCTGCTGGGACGGAGAGCGAGTCAAGTGCTGCTGGCTGGGGACGCGGTGCTGGAGCTCCAGGGAGCCGGACTGTTGCTGTTGCTGCTGCTGCTGCTGCTGCTCCAGCTTGAGGATATCCTTGACGGAAAACGGCGTGGAGGTGAGCGGGCTCTGCAGCATCATGTCATCCAGCTCCAGCTCTCCGGCATCGACGAAATGAAGCCCGCCGAGTAACATGCACTCCCCTTCTGCAGTCCCCGCTGTTTCTCTAGCAAACAATCCACCTCGGAAGCGTGGGTAATTGGAGGTCCGCTAAGCTTCTGGAATCCTTCATGGCCATAAATCGCGGTAAAACACGGCTATTATCGCCGGGTTCGTCCATGCAGCCCTCCTCTCTGACAGATATAATGTTGGGCTTTGTGAGGGGAGTTCGGACCGGAGTGTTGGAGCGTCTCTGCCTCTTTTTGGAGCGAGGGGGAGGGGTGTGTGTGAAATAGAAAGTCCATGCGGGACGTAGGAAGAACCCTGGGAAGGTGGGAAGTACGTGACGTAACCGCACGTTCCCAGTTTTATTTTCCACATGGAAAAATCTGCTGGACGCGGTTACAGACCATGTTTCTGGGAGCGCATTTGGACACATTTTACGCACACATTTTGCGCCGGGAAACATTAAAACTCCCTTGTTTATTACAACCCCAAATGTAATTACGTTTACCTCTTTTAGACTTTCACTTTGTGCTGAGCAAATTGTTTAGTGCTAATATGGGTTCCTGCATAAATCAGTAGGCCTCAGGAAGAGGAGCGACTCTTCCAGCAGCTTCAAGACCAAGTTTTCCCAAAAACTGTGCTTGTAATTGTTTCCTTTTTACATGTGCAAAATGGGGAACTTGTGGAAGAGACTTTGAAGTTTAGATCTTTGTCTGATTTTAAACTTTAACAGCATCGTAACTCGAGCTGAAATGTGGTGATTCAATCCCTCCACAAACCGGCTGCGCTGGATGAAACTAAATCCAAAACCGCGTTGTGAAACACTTTTTACTCTCTCAAAATCTGTTATCTTTTTACACTTTCACGCACAGAAGAAATACAAACTTTCAGACTGTAGCAGTGGCGGATCTTGCATGATAAGATTCTGACAGCGTGTTTGCGTAAAATGTCTGCGTTTGGGATTCACTGTATGACAGAAAATATTTAAAACCAAAATGTATAAAATTATCTGTTGCTTCTATTTTAAGAAAAGGATATAAACAAAGTGTAGCAAAATTTTACACTATCCTTTTAATCCTTCAAATAACATTTCTGTAGTGTCGTATTTGTTTATGCAAAACTAAAACTGTTGAGATGTAATTTTCAGACCATCTTTTGCTCAATATGTTTTCTGCAGCGTAACTTTGTTAGCTTGTTAATTTACCCTGTCAGCTGATTAAAAAATACAACGCTTGTAGCTTTTTAAATTGAATTAATTCAAAACAGCTCAAACTTAATAAAAAGAAATCTAAGGCGCGTTCTTTGTTGTGTTTAGAATTATTGTTTTTTTATTGTTTTGAAAAGTAACTTTTGAGAGAACTTGTTGTCACTCCCTGATATCTGTGTCTGGTTCTCATTCTGTAATTACAGAACAATTTGTTCCCGTTTTGACCCGTGAACCTGACACCGGACACCGACACACTCTTACAAAAAATAATCTAATATGCTCTTATTTCATGCAGTCTCATACATGTTATGCCAGGTGAAGCAAAACAAGTTTATTTGCATCACAACTCAGCAACAAGACAATTCAAGGACTTTATGGTTAAATCAGAAAATAGGAGAACAATGCTTTGTCATGATAAGGGAAACTAAAACACTCAAATAAATATTTTTTCACTTATCAGTATTCAAAGGTAGTTCTAAACAAAAACGTTTTAACTTTGACATACATGAACTCAGTGTTTCAACAGTTTTACAGTTTTCTGGAAGTTTGTTCCAGGTTTTGGCGCTTAAAAACAGAAAGCTGTTTCTCCACATAGAGGTCTGGAAAGTTGACACAACAGCAGATCTGTAATTTATTTATTCTGATACTAAACCGATCAGTGATTTAAAAACAAAAATGTTTGAGTGCTGTTTTTCTTCTTTTTTTTCTTTTTTTTTAGTTATGGGAATCCGGGACTTCAGAAACAGAGTGATGTGCTCTACTTTCCTAGTTTTAGTGAGAACATGAGCAGCTGCACCTGTCTGATGATGATGATGATAATAATAATAATAATAATAATAATAATAATAATAATAATAATAATAATAATAATATATGTCAGGTTTGCCATACATTTAGAAATTGAAAGTTATAAAAATCAGTTCAGATTTATTTATTTATTTATTTATTTATTTATTTATTTATTCATTTTAAGTTAAATAACTCCGTAGTTTAGCTCCAATGATGAATCTGGACTCACCTCCAGTTTTATTACCAGCTGTATTGTATGGATATTTTCTCCCGGTGCGTATACAGTGCACAACCCATGAGAGAGGAACATAACATGCAAATAAAACAACCTTAAACTCCTCCGGTGTGACTGAAAAATAACATATTTGGGGCTCCAGCTCCTGAAGGCGTCCCCTGCCTGCCCCGCTCTGCAGCGGCCGTGCAGCCCGTTGTCCTCCTTATCTCGCCTGTCGCATTAATACCAGCACTGGGCCGATAAGCAGGGCCCCCCAGGGCAATTAAAATTCCTCCACGAAAACTTACCGACGTTTTTAGCGCGGCCTAATCTGCTCCTATCAGCTCCCTTCCTCTTTGCTCGCCTGCTTGTCAACCCTCCGTCTCCCTCCGTGTTTTCCTCCGCAGGTGGATGAATTCCCATCAGAGGGCAAGACTTCATGCTCAGACCCGGTGGATTCGGAACTGAACGTTCTGTTTGGATCAGATGATTCATTCATTGGGAACTGCTGATGCTTTCTGTTAATAAATTATCTTTGATTTTTTTTTTTCATGTAATTTTCTAAAACATTTGGACTACTTAATGTTAAATCACTCTTTGGCCGAAGAAAACTTTTGAAATTCGAATAAATTCCTTTTAACTTTTTCTTTATTTCTTCTTCTTTCTTAGTTAAAATATATTTGAATTGTGCAAATATATTTTCGAAACATATTTTTCCCCTTTTTGTAACACTTGGAGTCAGACTGTAGTTATCCTGATCTATATCTGGTTGGAAATGCTCCCTACTTCTCATGACAGTTTCTTTCACTTCCTGTGTATTTGTTGTTACTTCCTGTTATAAGAAAATCATTCATCTCTACTGTCGCCCTGTTCTTGCTTAGAAAGCTTTAATACAGCTTAATCTGTAAGTACAAAGAGATTGTTAGATTTCATGATTTATTTGGTCAGAGATCAACAGGAGTCATGTCTGAACTAGTGATCTCTCCAACTCATTTAAAACTGATTCTGTCCATTTCTTCTTTTCTGCAGCTCTAAAATGTGAGCAGCTCAAACAGTAGAAGCTTTCTCATCGTAATACAGTTTCCAGATATTAAAAATGACTATTTTTCTTTCAAAACACTAAATGTGAGGCCAGCTGTCTGAATCAGGGGGATTATTTGTACAGCCATCAAGCAGAAAGCCAAACTTCTTGGCATAACAGAAAAGTATTGAGATGTTTGGGGGAAGAAAACAAGCAGTTTACAGAATATCTCACCCTGACAGGTTGGAACATTTGTGTTTATGCACAAAAACCCTGCAGTCAAAGCGAGCTGATTGCAACTCTTGGACTTTTGGGAACATTTGGAACCTAAAACATGTTTGAGTCAGGAAGCTGTCTATGTCAGTCATTTACAGTTAAAAAAAAACATTCATACGTCCTGAGCCTGTTCTTATTTGGTCACAAACTTTAATGCATTTCAAAGTTTTTTTTGTGTGTGTGTGAAGTGGCTTCAACTTCAGTTATTACAGCTAGAAACAAGTAATCAGGTTCAAAATCTGGGTGTAGAGATTAAATCTGACCTGAGCCTTCAGAGTCACATAAAGACAGTTACAAAGTCGGCCTTCTATCACCTGAACAATATTTTCAGGGTTAAAGGACTGATGTCCCAGCAAGATTTTGACCAGCGGTGTCAAACTCATTTTTGTTTTGGGCCAAATAAAGATTGTGAACGCTCTTAAAGGGCCGGTTGTGCCAGAATGTTTTGATAAAACCTGTTCACAAACTGTTAAAATATCAACGAATTCTTAAAATTAAATATTATTGAACATCTTTTCAGTTCCTCCAGGATTTTGTGATTCTTTTAGTGACTTTTTGCAATAAAAATCAAAGTGTTTGTGGAACTAATTTGGAAATATTTGCGCTTATTTATGGTGGTAAATGTGACTTTTTATGACTTGCTGTGTAGATTATGGACTATAATCTGGCATCAGTTAAAGCTGATGCAGCTGTTTAGTACAAGTAAGAAAGTTTCTGACAACTTTTGAGAAAAATCTGCTGTTCATTTGTCTGTTCATATCTGACTGGGTTTGGTCCTCCAGCTTCAACTCACTTTCTTCTTCTTTTGTCCTCCAGGACTATTATAAATGTAAATTATTCATTTTCTCTTATCTTATGTTGTTTGTTTCACTGGGAAGAGGCAAGTTTTCACAATCCTTTTACTAATATATTTCAAATGTTTATTTTTTCTTTGTGTATTAATGATAGTGTTTGAATATGTTCACTTAAGTCATTATTACAGCTTTATAACATTTAATGGTGCTTCGTTTTTTTTTCACCATGATGCCAGTTTTAGTTTAACTGGCAGATTGCTTCACTTTAGCAATACATGCTAACAGTATTATTGTTGTATAGATCATGCTGGTGATCTGCAGTACGTCCTATGAGCTAACGCTAATATCTCCCAATTATCAGGTTGAATAAACAGATTTGGTGTCTTGTGGTTTATCTGATTACAACACAAAATCACAAAATGCAGCAGTCCACCGGTAACACCTGCGTTTATCTTTAGTCACATTGATTACTGCAACAGTGTCTTCTCAGGTCTGCCTAAAAAATCCTCCAGCTGCAGCCGATCCAGAACGCTGCGGCTGGAGTTCTGACTAAAACCAGGAAGTTTGAGCACATAGCACCAGTTTTAAAGTCATTACGCTGCATGGCTCTCTGTGGCTCAGAGACTTTAAAATCCTGTTGTTAGTTTATAAATCACTGAACGGTTTAGCACCACAACACATTAAAGAACCAAACATGGAGAAGCAGCGTTCAGCTTCTATGCACCACAAATCTGGAACAAACCTCCAGAAAACTGAAAAACAGCCGAAACGCTGAGTTCTTTTAAATCCAGACTAAAATCCCACCTGTTTGGAGTTGTTTTTGAAACATTATAAATGGGAAATTAACCAACATTTTAATGTGTGATGCTATTTTAATAATGGAATTTGGTGACTGATATGTTAACCTCGTTGGACTGGAACACAAATAAACTTGATTGATTGATTGAAGAAAGTAAATTAT